CTGAGGATACATTGTGGGTGACAGATGCCCCTTTCATGTGTGGCTTTCTGGCTGCCCAGGATCACCTGAATGGAGGCTGGTCTACTCCAAAAAAATTCTGCATCACCACTGGTTCTTTTAGGATGTGCTCTGGTTATATTTATCAGTAGTCACTACATTTTCAAGAGGTGAATGGTAGATATCATTGCCTGGAAAATTCTGACATATACCATTAAACCTTGATAAGTAACTAAATTTCATCTCGATATCTATCACTTTCTGGAAAGTGTAAGCCAGGTGTAGAAAAGCTTTATCTATCAAAAGTAGCATTCCCTCAGGTCAAGCCCCTTCTGAATATGCTTTTATTTTTAAACCAGAATTTGACTAGATAAACTTTGTGTGAAGGATCTAGGAGTCTTTGTAGGCCACAATCTTAACATGAGTCAACAGTGTGATGCTGCTGCTGCAGTAGCAGCAGCAGCAGCAGCAAAAAAAACCAGCTAATGCTATTCTAGGCTGCATCAACAGAAGTCTAGTGTCCAGGTCAAGGGAAGTAATAGCACCCTCAATTCTGCCTTGGTCAGACCTGGAGTCCTGTGTCCAGTTCTGGGCACCACAATTTAAGAAGGATATTGACAAGCTGGAATGTGTGCAGAGGAGGGCAACCAATATGATCAAGGGTCTGGAGACCAAGCCTTATGAGGAACGGTTGAGGCAGCTGGGTATGTTTAGCCTGGAGAAGAGAAGACTGAGAGGTGAGATGAGAACCATCATCAAATATCTGAAGGGCTGCCACATGGAAGATGGAGCAAGCTTGTTTTCTGCTGCTCCAGAGGCCCTAACCAGTGGATTGAAATGTCAAGAAAGGAGATTCTGACTCAACATTAGGGAGAACTTTCTGGCAGTAAGACCTGTTAGACCTCCAAAGGTGGTGACCTCTCCTTCCTTGGATGTTTTCAAGCAGAGGTTGGCTGGTCTCTCTCAGGGATTCTTGAGCTGTGATTCCTGCATCACTGGCGGTTGGACTAGACCCTTGGGGTCCCTTCCAACTGTACAGTTCTGTGATTCTATATGCTTCTGTGATCATACATGCACAAGACCCCAGGTTCAATACCCAATGGCATCTCCAGGTAGGACTGAGAGAGAACCACTGTTTATGTGAACAGTGCTCAGCTAGATGGGCCAGTGGCCTCATTCAATATAAGGCAGTTTCCTGGATTGCTCTGGGATTGAAGACTGGGAGAGCTAACCTCTTCTCTACTGATGCTTACTGGATGCCAGGAATGAATGAATGGATTTATCAATGGCTGTGAATGAGCTGAGTCCTGATGGAGAAATTAAAATTCCCTTGTAGCAATAAAAACACACACCAAAGTCTTGGAGATCATCGCTCAGCAGATGTCCAACAATGAGTTTCGAAATACGAAAATAACTTTCAACACAAACAGAGCATCACCAAGAGTGCTGGGCCTGGCGTGGCTGTGTCTGGCTGACCGAGAAAAGCTAATCAGGAGACTGGCATGGGGAGAGAGGCATGTTATTTAATTAGCCGTACAATGCAATGACTCGGAGGCACGTGGTGGCCCTAATGGAAGGAGATAGATGTCCTTTTAGCCGGGCTAATTGTTCGGAAAGAGCGGGGTCTTTGTTCAGGCCCTGCATGCGGTCTGTGATCTTTCAGAGCCTCAGGGGGCTGCCCCTGCTTATAATTTTTGATGGATCTATTCAGGGCCGCTTTGCAGCATAACAAGAGAAAAACAAGAGTTGCATTGTTGGGCAGCCAGGATCTCCGTCCAAGAAAACCACCCCAACAAACCCAAACACGTGTGGAGAGCAGATGGGCCAGGAGGCGGGCTTCCCAAGTCAGAAGGCAGCACTCTAAATGGTCCTTAATGGATGGATGCAGGAAACTGCCTTGCACCCAGTCAGATCATGGATCCATCTGCCTCAGCATTGCCTACACTGACAGCTTTCAAGGATTTCATAGTCACTTATCTACAAAAAAAATACTTACATGCCACTATAGCATACAAGATACCAAAGTGCTTTAGAAAAATAATATCCACGTACAAGGGAAAGAAACCACACAACATTTTAAATTCAGAGGCGATCAACTATTATGAAAAGATTTCTCTGCAAGCAAACCAAGGTGGAAACTCAATAACTGGGTCCCTTGGAGGAATCCTTCACGTCTCTGTTCCGCTCAGGTGTGCAGGCTCTCAGCCAATGGATGGAGAGGTGTCATTTTGCCAAAACAAAGCCAAGCAAGAGTTTGAGGCAGCTTTCCCAATGGAGAGAAATGTGGGATTTGGCCTTCTCCGTGCTGATCTTTGCTCCTTCCTGCCACTCCGCCTTCTCGCGCTCTCCCTTCAGGCTTGGCGTCTGGGATTTACTGGCCATCACTTCCGTGGGAACCTTTTCCTCTTTTTTGGTGGGGAGGGAGTGATGCTGACAGCCCAGGCCAGCCGCTCAGCTGTTCAGAGCAGGCCTCTCTCTCTCTCTCTCTCTCTCTCTCTCTCTCTCTCTCTCGGCTTTGTGCTCCGTTCCAGGAGGTTTTGTGGTTTTGCTGTGGAAGGAGGAAGAGGCTCGTCCTGAGAACCGCATGGAGCCTTGAACGCTGCGGAAAGGAAACCGAGGAACAGTCAGGCCCGCTTTCACGCTCTGGGGACCACAGATGCATTTGAACATCCTTGTCCTCCCAGCATCAAAGCTGCAGGTGCTATGTGTGAACCAGGCCCTGCCTCTTTTCCTCATCCATATCCATCGTGCGAAGCCTCCCCCCCCCCTTGTGAATTACCCGGTGGGGTGTGTGTGTGTGTGTGTGTGTGTGTGTGTGCGCGCGCTTTTGCTCCTCCGTGCCTCTGGAAGTTACAACATTCCAATGCAATGCAGAAAAAAAGAAGAGATTATGGGCTTGTGAAAATTGCATCATCTCTCTCTCTCCATCTGAGCCTGCAATGAGTCGTTTCCAAAGCCAGCTGCTTCTTTTATGCTCGATTTCAAACTCTTTCTTGCATGGCTAGGGTTGCCAACTGACTTGGGGGTGGGGGGTGGTGTCTGTGCTTGTGATGAAGCTGCCCTGCCTTTCTCTGGAGCACCTTAGCCATCAAATTCAATCTGCAGGAAACAGGAGGTGAAGTTTGTCACGGCAAGGAGGCAGGCCTGCAGTTCGAGCTACCATTAGAAGCATAGGAGCAGGGCCTGGTTCAGGCAGTTGGCAACCTTGCCCAAATTCCCTCCTTTGCAATGATTCATCTCAAGATGGACTTGCGGCGAATCTTCTCCTGTCATGATGTTCCACTTATTCATGAGTTCTTCTGCCTACCTTCTTCCCCTGATGTTTTATACTGTATATATAAAAAATATATGGCAAAAGAGACATGGGAAAACTGGAACCTTTCAGCTGGGGGCAGCCCCCTAAATGTCCCTATAGAGCAGAATATGACTGCTTTCTCCTGCCACAGGGAACTGCCTGAGCCTTTGTATCGTTAACCATTATTAGACCAATCCCCACCCACATGTCAGACCTATTTGCATGCCTAGCAACCAATGTACCACATAGTAAGGCAAATACAGCCACACTTAGTAGTTCTGGAAGCAAAGGATTGAGAAGGTATAGGAACTTCCAGGGGAAAGGAGCAGGCCCCAAATGGTGCAAATCCACGCACCATTTGCTGGAAGATTTGATAGTAATGATCGACATAACAGGACACAGCACTCCTCATTCCAGAAGCATGAGCCCCAGCACCTCTTTCCACTAGCAGGCTGCCCCTGGAAGGCTCCCACAAGAAACTGCAGCCCCAGGCTGAGTAAGGTCCCCACCTCCCTTTGCAGCAAGCATTCTTGAAAGATATCGCTCACCCATTCCCCACATGCCTCATGATGTACGCTTGGGGAGGTTCTGTGACATTTGTGGGTTTCTGTCCCCTTATATACATTCGATAACTTCTGGGCTGTAGGATTTCACACAACGATGGTGGATGATCATGAAATTTGGATTGGGGTCTGGAGAAGACGCAACACCTTTTCTGCACATCACACATATGCACCACAGTGCTTCCCAACCTTAGTTCTCCATCTGGTTTTTTTGGACTACAGTTCCCATCATCCCTGACCACTGGTCTTGCTAGCTAGGGATGATGGGAGTTGTAGTCCCAAAAAAACAACAACAACAGATGGAGACCCAAGTTTGGTAAACCCTGCTGTTTCTCTGCAAACTAATGTTATGCATTTGATCCCTGCAGCTGAGCATATGAACTGATCCATCGAAAAGCCCAGCATTTTAGCTGGCATCTGGCAATAAAAAAAGGCTGCCTTCTAAATCTGGGTTGACTTGTTCACATGAGCGACTCACCGCTTGATGCGGCAAGTCAGTATGGATGTGTCTGCGTGTGAACCAAGCGCATCTCAAGAAATACATTACAGTTGCTCAGCACGCAACTAAGACTGTTAGGTTTTCTCACAGAAAGAACCACAAGAAACAGGTTGCTAATGACGTTTGTACTCTCTTTTTTTTGTAATAAAAAAGGCTTATAAATATATAGATGTATATGTATATACCGGTAAATGGACCTCTGTGAGTCATACACGCCTATCTGTGCTCTGCCGTTTGTGGTCGGGTGTTTTTGCTACAGAAGTTGCAATAAAATACTTTATGTGCAAACCAAGACACCCTTCCCCCCAGACCTTCATTTAGGCTCACGAGCTCCTGGGGTGATAGAGATCTCGGCATATTTTGTGGCAGGAGCGGTCCCAACCCCGCCTTGCAAAGGAAGGATCCTTGGTTTCAGGTGAAATTGGTGGGGGAAATAAGCAGTCAGCACTTTTGGGTCTTAATCCCCCTCCTTTTTTTTTTTTTAAACTTCTCACTGATTTGAAATGCAACTTCACACATGCTTAATTTTCTGAAAGGTGGACCCACTGTGGATTCCTTCAGGCTGTCTCTCATCAATGTCCCCTTGTTTTCAGAAAACACATTTGTTACTAAAAGCCCTCCTCTGTTCTTTCTTCTTCTTCTTTTTTTAAAAAACCAACCCTGCAAATATAAAACAAAGAGGTTGTACAAACAGAAAATAGCATCGCGTCTGGCTTTCCGTGTACAAAACAAAACCTCTTCCACCTTCAATGTTTTAACTAAACTGAACCAAGTATTAAAGTCAGGGGGTTTGCGGCCTTGCATGTGGGTGAAACACAAGGCAGTTAAAATGCCGCCATGTACAGTTTTGATCGTCACATGTCAAAAAAAATATATCGAAGAACTGGAAAGCTACCTTACAAGGAAAGATGACAGTGTCTGAGGCTTTTTACCTGGGGAGGGAAAGGTGAACAGGAATGGTCAAGGTTTACAGAATGATGGACAAGGGAAAAAAGTGTCAGCACTTCATCTGGTGATGCTGAGGGGTGGGCGGTTGACTCCTTCACACAGGGCAGAGTTGAACTATTCAGGTTTAGATGCCCACCAAACTTAGAAGGCTCTAAAAGGAGGTTAGACAAATTGTTGGAGGATAAAGCTATCCATGGCTCCTTGCTACCTCCAGGATCAAGGGCAATCTGGCTCTGGGTAAACAACAACAACAACAACATTTTTATTATTTGTACCCGCCCATCTGACTGGGTTGCCCCAGCCACTCAGGTCCATCCAGAGTAGGCTGTTTCCTTCAAGCCCTGCTTGGGGAGGTGGGTGTCTCCCAGCGGTATCTGGTTGGCTACTGAAGGAAAGGATGCAGGAATGGATGGACCTTTGGTTTGATCCAGCAGGACTCTTTTGATGTTCCTGCACCCACTAGCTAATTTGGTAGTATACACCCCAACACGTTTGCCTCGTGGAACTGGCCTTCTCCAAGGCAACCCATCTTCTGTAAGCAAGATTCTCCATCTTGCCCAAATTCAAAATGTCTTCAATCCTCTGCTACAAGTGTGGGAGAGTTTGGGCTTTTTCTTGAGAGATTGGGAGCTTTTTCGAGGTTGTGACTCAGAATAAGATGGTCACAAAAGAAGGGCAGCGTCAGGGACCAAACCATATTAACTTGCTCAGCAGCATCCTTCCAGTCCACACCCACTCCAGAGAACTAATATGAACCAGGGTCCAGTTCTGGGCACCCTAGTCTGTTAAGCCGGATATTGATAAGCAGAACATGTGCAAAGGTCTCCCACTCCTGCTTTGTGCCACTTGCTCTCTCAGCCCATCAAATTTCCCTTTGCATTCTGTAATGTGGGACTGTGGAGCCTGTGGCCATTCATGTATGACTGCGCTCCAACTCCTCCCATCAGCCTTGACCATTGGCCATGCTGGCTGGGGGTGATGGGAATTGTAGTCCAGCAGCATCTGGAGGGGGCCTCCCAGGTTCCCCCATCCCTGCTCCAGTTATTGGGGTAGCATCCCCCTTCCACCCCCCAGGAAAGTAGATGTGCAAGATCTGTAATAGCTGACCTCTTGCTCCGTCCTCGCAGTCAATTGCATGCCCTCTCAAGTCACACTCAGTCCATAAAAATGTATTGAATTGTACAGCTATAATGGATGTGAAGAGCTTTGGACACTGTAAATGTGAGTTATTGTGATTCATCATGATTAATGGATATGTAAGAGAGGGAGAATCATCCTTCTGTAGCATTGCTGGTCAACCTAGCGGCAAAGAAAATCATGAAAAGGGGGCATTAAGGGGAACCCTCACGCACTGAAAACACTCTTTTCCCCTCCAGACAAGCCGAGGGAACTGTAGTTCCCCCCTAACAGAGCTACAGTTCCCAGCAACCTGCCCCAAATTCCTACCACTGTATGTATGTATGTCTCTCTGTGTGTTGTATTAAACTAGCAAGATTTTTTTTAAAAAAATTCAGTTCTGTGTGTGCAAGAGAGAGAGGAAACTCATCCCCCTGCAGAACCACCACCTCCCACTTTATGAAGAGGCTGAGATGGCTCCTCTGCTTTTACCAATGCATTTCTTTGTGTTTTCGGTTCTAAATGTCACATAGAGCTTTTCCTTTCCGTTATCTTACTGTGTGCTATATACCGGTAAACTGCTTAGGGATTTGGCATATTAAGTGGTTTGGCAATGCCAATGGTGATGGTGATTCCTGGGAAGGTGGTGGATTCTCCTTCATGGGAAGGTTTGAAGCAGAGGCAGGATGGCCACCTGTCAGGGATTCTTTAGCTGTCATTTCTGCATTGCAGGGGGCTGGACTAGATGGCCCTTGGGGGTCCCCTCCCACTCTACAATCCCATGACTCTTTGACGATGAAGAAGAAAGCAAGACCAGCACCCATTTTCTTTTGCTCCCAAGGGACCAAGTAAAGCGTGAAGTCCCATCCCCCTTCCCGCCTTCCCCTTTCAGTGCCTGATTACAGCTCTGGTCCTGAGGGAAGACTTACTCCGGATTAACTAATGCGGAGTAAGGCGAGAGAGAGAGAGAGAGAGAGAGAGAGAGAGAGAGGAGCCCCTCTCCAGAGCGCGGTCCAGAGGCGAAGGCGCTTCGCGGAGGGTCTGGGCGGCGGCGAAGGGGCGGAGGCAGGCGGGTCCCACCCCGGCCGCTGTCACGGAGCGGAGCCCGGCCCCTGCTCCCTCCTCCCGTCGGCGGCAGCCCAGAGAGCTCCGCGCCTACAGCCGCTCCTGGGCTGGAAGAGAAACCCACGGGCAGGCAGGAGGCAGCGGCGGGGCTGGCCGGAGCAGGAACGCCCCGAAGACGAGGCACGGGAAGGCGGAAGGCAGCGCCAGAGCCAGCCAGCGAGCGCGCCACGGACGGAGCCCGTCGGGCTGCCCTGCAGGCGGAGAAGCGGGCGCGGGGCGCACGGCGGCAGACTCGGAGGGCGCAGCTCGGAGTCTCCAACTTCGGGGGCGCGGGCGCGGGGCGCTTTCCTGGCCAGAGGGGCCGAAGGATCCGACCCGGAAGGTCCCCCTCCCCCTCGTGGACCATGAAGGCGGCCGTGGACCTCAAGCCCACCCTGACCATCATCAAGACCGAGAAGGTCGACGCCGAGATGTTCCCTTCGCCGGGTAAGTGGGCCGCTGCTCCGCGCTCTCGGTCCTTCGCGTGCCCCGACGGCGCGCGGGGTTACTGGCCGGGACGCGCCTGGCCGGCCCCGCTCTCCCCGGGTCAGGGTCGAAGGGTCCCCAGGCGACGGCTGCGCTCAACTTCGCTCCTCGGTAACTGCGCCTTCCTGGGATGGGCTATCCTGTTTCCACGGTCTTTGGCGACGCCTCTTCTGGGGAACCCCTCCTTCCCCTCCGATTCTACCGGCTTTCTTCCACCCCTAGACCGTCTGGTTTGTGCCCGGGGTCCCATCTCCCGGGGTTTCTTTTCTCCCCCTGAATTGGAGTTCGTGGGGACGCTGTATGGTGCAAACGAGTGGTTTGGCTTCCCATCTCAAGTCAAGAGGGAGCTCTGGCCGGCTTTCCGGCTGTTTCTTGGGTTAGGGCAGGAGCATCTTCCTGACAGTTGGACCACAGTCCGAGAGCCGCTGCCTGGAATCTCCAGGGAAGCGTTTTTTCCCCTTTGGGTGTAATTGACTCTTCTCTTCTCCTATCACTCCCTCCTCCCTCTGTCTTTTTCTCTCTCTTCCCCTTTCCCTTCCCTCTCTCTCTGTATGTGTTTTGAGCGCGGCTGTACTGTACTCCAGGAGAGCTAATAGGTCTGGCTCGGAGCGCCTGTGTGGGCTGAAATGTCCCCTCCCTTCCCACCCGCACCAGCGCACGAATCACACACCATTTTTACAAGTGAGATTTGCTGAAAGTAGCACATTCTCCTATGATCAGCTGGAGATGGCAAGGGGGGACGGACGTTGGGGGAAAGCGGGCAAAAATAAGGCTTTCTAATCCCATATCAGAGGGAAGGCTTTCTTTCATTCTTCTCTCTCTTTAAATTAAGAAGTCAGGTTTTTGGGAGGGTTGATTTATTATTATTATTATTATTATTAAAAAGTAAGTCAGGTTTTTGGGAGGGTTGATTTATTATTATTATTATTATTATTATTATTAAAAAATGCTTCTTTCTTTTAACTCATCCTTCTGGGGGTTCCGCTGGAGGAAAAGGGCAGTGTAAATTAACAGGGCGTAAAACTCAGATGGGGCGAACTTGGGTTCAAACCCCTATTTACACAGGAATCACACTGACAGTGCAAGCCTATGCGTGCCTGCTCAAACATAAATCCCACTGAGTTCCATGGGACTTACTCCCAGGTAAAGTGCACCTAGGACCATGGCCTGAAGCAGGGTTGGAATGTAATCCATAAATATATGGACGCAGAAGACAAAAACAACCATTAATCTCTTGTTGAGAGAAAATAAAATGGAGGTCCCTTTTGTTACTTTTTTAAAAAAATAAAAACTCTTTAAAAATAATATTCTTAAACACACACAAACACATTTTTCCCCATCCAGAAATTTAGAGTTTTGTTCCTTTGGTTTTATAAATCCATCGGTTGCAGATTACAAAAACAAACAAACAAAAAACACCTTGATTTGGATGCTTTTGCCTTATGCTAATCTGCTAATATCAGTTCTGCATCCTCCAAGACCTTTTTTTTTTTAATGCTGTATTTTAAATTCTAGTGACATCTCAGTGACATATTTATCAACATGTTAAACCAACCTCTGCCAACCTGGAGCCCTGCAGTTGCTGCTGGACTACAAATCCCATCATCAGCCCCAGGGAGCAGCACAGCCAACGTCCTATCAGCTCTTGTGTCCTACAGGCAGGGTGAGAATTGTAGTTCAGCAGCGCCTGGAGGGCGCCAGGTTGAGAGGAGCTGTGCTAGACTGCTGCTTCAGGGCCGTTTGCACCTCTGCCTCCCCCCTACACACACACACTACAAGAGATGTTGGGGAAACTTTCTGATGGAAGGGCGGGGGCAGGGGTGTCCGATGTTATCTGGAGAGATGGTTTCAGCCCTAGTTGCTAAGTTACTGTGTGACCATCAATAATTTTAGCTCTTCTTGTTTGCGGTTAACACTTAGGCCCAGTCTTGGATGCAAAATGCAAAGGCTTGCTAAGTAACCTCGTATGACTAGGTAGCCTGCTAACAATGCAGCCGCTGGGTTCTTGCAAAGGGTGTATATGTAGCCGAGATGCTCTTTTGTGCGGGTAGCAAAACTGTATCTGCAGCGTGGGGAAAGGGTTAAGCTCAGTCTGATGATCACCCACAGCTGGACCCTCCTCTTGGCTGACCCTCCGCATCTGTACACTCCTGGCATCTGTATTTACGGATGTTAAACTTCTCGCTTTCCCCCAGCCATTTCTGAGCCTTGTTCCTGAGTTTCTGGGAAAAGCAGGCCCAGGTTTCGGCTGGTTCCAGTGGCTGGTGGAAACGCCTGGTGAACGGGAAGAAAGAGGTGACAGCTGGCAACCAAAATCCAGCCCACCCTGCTGATTCCTAAACTTAAGTTCAGAAATGCATCCTATCAGTTTGCAAAAAGGTCATGTTGCCTAAAAGAAAGAAAGGGGAAAGTATCATCTTTCATTGTTAGAGGGTGTTTTTGTTTTGTTTTTTGCTTCATTTCTGAATGGGGAATTGCAGAATTTTCCATTCATGAAGAAGGATCAGTGACCCCAGATTTTGTCAAAGCAGAATCCTCACTACCCAAATTTCTGAATGCTTTTCATCCACACTGTTTTGCATCCAGAAAATTACCAGGGTGTTGGGCGTGTTGAGCTGAACAACTGAACGATGAAATGAAGACCTCTGTTCAAATCCTGCCTTAAACTTACTAGGCGCTCTCCTCTCAGTCCCAGCCCTACCTTTCAGGGTTGTCGTAAGGATAACTGAGATAATGTAACATCCTTGGGAGGACAACTAAGACAATGTGTGTGAAGGGCTTTGAGAACGCTAAAGCACCACATCAGTGCTAAGCAACTATTAAACCAAATCTTCTAAACAAAAGCTGCTAGTCCACAATAATTGTGGCTAGCTTGCTTTCCCACTACTCTGCTTGCCTGTCCTTATCTGTGGTTAGGCATTTATGGCACATCAGCCTCCTGAAAAAGATGTGGTAGGGAAGAGAACCCTCCCCAACATTATTTCAGTTTTCAAAAGCTTCCTGTTCACCTGGAGAGGAGTCCTATTCGCCATAGGTGATCAAGCAAGAGGCTGTTCAAGGGCCTGAATTACATCAAGCTGGTGATGGCTCCTGGCTAAAAGAGGATTTGCCAGATTCACAGAGGACAAGTCTACCTGCGGCTATTAGTAATGATAGTTGTGTGTTCAGATGCAGCAGTTTCAATTGCAACAGCAGGGGTGGCCCACTGCCCTCAGCTGCTGCTTGTGGGCTTCCCAGGGGCATCTGGCTGGTGGAAATTGGGGGAGGGTCTAGGTGGACCTTTGCTCTGACCAAGCAGGACCCTGCTTGTGTTCTCGTCACACCAGAGGTCCATTTAGGTCTAAAACAGTGGTGCAGAATGCAACCAAATCCTCAATGTGGTCTTGCTCAGTTTAAAATTAAGCTCTTGCATTACACGGGGTTGAACTAGATGGGGCTCCAGCCAACTCTACAATTTTATGAAAGTTTGGTACTTATTCATTTGGAAATGTATGAATCTGTGTCAATAGCAGCTCTCATTGCCTGAACGTTTAAGAAAGTTTCCTGTGTTCCTTATGATTTTGTACAGCATATTCCAGGGAA